CCTCCTCTTTTCTCCTCCTCTCCGCTTCCAAAAGTTCTTGAGCAAGAGCTTCTTCATGCTCTCTTCTCGCTTTTCTCTCTTCTTCACTCAATCTTCTGCGACGATTCTCTTCTTCTTGTCGATAGTGGTCTTCTTCTTGCATCACTTCTTCGGCTTCTACATCCAGGCGACAGCGTTCTTCTTCCCAATCTCCGCGGTCATCTTCTCCTGTTCCCAAGTGACAATTTCGCATATTCTCACTAAGTACTCGTGGTAAAGCATGGTTCAAATTATCGCAATCATCGAAATCATCGACTTCCATCTTAGGCACCGCTAGGTTTTGACGTTCTTCGCGAGCTTGCCTGATTCGCTTACGCTCCTCTTCTTCGTGTCTTCTGCAACATTAAAAAGAATAACAGCAATGTTCGGTAATGTAAACTACTAACAATTTCTGTCTGTGTTCCGCAGCAAGTTTCTTCACTTGATCGCATCTCTCTTTTGTGTGAGGAGAATCAACCACTTCTTCAAAAAGCCGATCTTGGGATAATACTTCTTCTTTTGGTGACCACTATAAACAACGATCACTGCGGCTATCAAATAAAAACAACCTCTTAAATAGCTGATATGTAAACTTACCAAACATCTTCCGGCGGAATCACCACTGTTCTGTCGAGCCAATCTGCTCGGGTACGGCTTCCTACGGGTTTCGCGCGAAGGCTAAACACGTTTGGCAGGATTAACAAGAAGATGATCATGACCATTAGCAAAAAAATCAAATTGCAAGATGCAGTGACATCCTTCAATCTAAGATTTTAGATTACTCAAATAATAACAACAACTGCACACAAAAAGACGAAACTTACTGTGTTCATTGTTGGTTCTCGTGTAGTTTCTCCCCCCTTCTCCTGCACTCTAGCTATTTTTGACGGAACACGGCCTGGCGTAGACACGAACAGTGCCTGCAGTCAAAAAATAGGAAATGTCAGGAACACGTATTCAATCATGCAGACCTTGGAGGCTGTTCGCGGTTGACTGGCAACAATTTTTGGCAATCTCGAAGGACTATTGACACGTGAGACTGCATTACTTCGCCTAAATAGCCATACATCGACAGTAAATGGAAGGCAAAGAGAAAAATGAGAAATGGAGGAGCAAACAAATCCTGATTCAAAAAA